CCAGTAGTTTCAAGCAGTGGGGCTAAGTGTGGTGTGTCGCCTGAGGTGCACGGACTACCTATAGCAAACCTCCTAGGCCCTCAAGAAACCCTAGGCCGTAAATGAAAACCCTAAACTCGAGACTCTAAACCCAAACAGGTGGCCTGGCAAAACATCCTGAACCGCTCCTTCGTTGCTGGCGGCTTTACTTGGACAGGCCGGCGGCTTCGGGGGAAACGGGCTTCTTGACCCGAGTCACCCTAAACCTACCGTTTGAAGTTTGGGTTTAAGGTCCGGAGAACTAGAAACTGAACCCCAGACCATACCTGGACCCTAGTTTAGGGCTCCTTATTTATATGGGTCCTTAAAAAGGTAAGTTATTTGGGGTTAAGGTAAGCTTTGAACTGTAAGCGGCACAGAGCCTTCATGGTGAGCATTGGTTTCAGAGCTTCCAGGCTGCCAGCATGAAAGAACCAGGACAATGGTTCCACTTAATCCTAGTAGTCGAGTAGGTAACCTTTAACCTTGTTGGGGTAGTGTAGTCCCTGTATAACCCCTGTATATTCAAATTTTACAAGGTTAACCTTTAGTTCCCTATGATACCCGACAAGTAGGAAGTTAGAGCGCTAAAGGTATACACTCTCTACACCCCAATGGCGGGGACACGGGTGCTCAAGAACATCAGAACATCACCCCAGGGCAAGAAGAATTAGAATAGGGTTCCTTTTCGAGGGGTCTATAAGGGTTACCATACGGGCTGTTATAAGGTTCCTGAATAATTAGAGACTTTCTAGCATGTCCCATGCAAGCACCGACTTGGCCACAAATCGGACCTAGAAAAGTCCATGAAGCCCCACAAACCCGAAATTTCCTACTGCCCTCACCCCAAAGCCCTATACACCCAAAAGCCCTCAGCCACAAAGCCCTAAGCCATAAAGCCCTAAACCCTCAATCATAGGAGGCCAAAAGTGGTTTTAGCCTATGGGGGTTTAGTAGGGATTCTGGTTCCCATAATAGGGTTCATATTAAGGAATCCCTGCCCCAAGAATCTTAACCCCCCCTTTTGGCCTCCCATCACTCAAGCTCTAAGCTTTCCCTATAGTACCCTTGTAGTAACCCTTATAGATCCCTTGAAGGAACCCTAAAACCCCCAAAGCCCTACAGCCCTAAAACCTCTAAACCCGCCTGGCTTTCCTGTTTGATTTTATTACCTATGCTATTTTGGGAGGTCCTTATTATGATCATAGTATAATGGGCACCAAAACCCTATTCTAATTATTATTAAGGCCCCTATATCAAGCTTTCCTGTTTGATTTTCCTGGCAGGGTGGGACTACCGAGGCGAGCCTACGCCCTACCAGTGGCCGGATGTGAAGCACGGCGGACATGATTTTGTTGACGCTTTTGGGGTTTATTTAGGATTCGGGCCTTTTGGGTTTATTTAGAGTTTAGGGTTTGGGGTTTAATTACCAGGATTTAGAGTTTAGGGTTTAGGGTTGGCGGTATGATCTTAGTAGTAGAGTCGGTACCCTTTCAGCATTTTGGCGTTCAATACACGAAGGCTACGATTCAGGTCCCCTAGGATTCAAAGTTCAGAGTTTGGGGTTTATTGGGATTTAGTGTTTAGGGTTTTTGGGCTGATTCGGATTTCGGGTTTTGGGTGCAAAGTTTGCGGTTTCCAAGGGTGTCGGGATGTTAGGTGTGACGGGCTTAGGGCTTGTAGGGCTTCCGAGGCGCAAAGTTAACGGCCTGCGAGTTTTGGTTCCGGTTGAGGGATGGGCTCGGGGTTGGATTCCTGTCAAGGGTTTTGGGCGGGTTGCCTCGCCTGGACCGCCCGAGCGTGAGCGTCGAAGAATCAGCTTTTAGCTCGTAGTTCACTGACGTGCTTGGCTTTTATGGCTTTTCTTCTCAGAAAACCGATCCTGGCCATGCAACAGGGTATCCAGAAGAAGGCATGTCTACGTACTGCGTAGAGCTCGCGGTTTACCCAAAATTCATACACTCTGGTTGGAGCACCGTTGCCAATTTTGGAAAATTATGGAAACAACTTATTTTAGAGCGGCGAAAGCTTGGAATCGGAATGTCTAACCTTTGTTTCTGTGGATTATTGGGGTAGTAAGATTTGTGCAGAGGGTAGGAGACTGAGGGTTTTCGGGTTCAGCGTGAAGGGGGTTGGGGCTGGGACCCTGCTAGGATTTCATGGATTCGATTTCGAAGGATTTGGGCTCCAACATGACTGCGGGCCTGTGGTTGTAGACGGGATGCACGCAGGAGCTGCTAAAGCCTAGTATGGGATACTACGGCACCGTCAAGAAAGGACCAACGACTTCCGAAACGCTAAAGTCCAAACTTCAGGACCCCCCAAAGGCCCTGTGCCCGAACCCTTATGGTCCTTCATTGGTAGCAGGTGTTCGGGGTCTAATAATTGGGGGTCTACTTGGAGGTTCTTAGTTATGAATGGGGCTGCAAGGCCCCTAATATGATCAAAAGTCTAGTTACCCTAGATATAACTCTACTTATAGCTACCCTAAACCCTACTCCCTAAACCCTATAACCCTATAGATCCTTTTAAGGGAACCCTAAACCCCCAAAGCCCTGCTTATAACTTCCCATGAACCTCCAAGTAGGAAGGCCTCAAATCATCGAAGGAATTCCCACTTCGGCATCTTGGACATGGCTGGTTTCTGGAAGCACCGGGCTTTCTACTACCAGGTGCCTTCGGGTTAGGGTCCTACATGGGCTTCTGGTTGGCACTGCAACAGCTTGTGGATGTGTAAGCTGATGGAGGTAGCTCTAGCAGTGAGAGGCTTAGGGGTTTAAAGCCCAAATCTGTTAAATTTAACCAGCCCGGCCGATTAAAGCCCAAATCGGTTAAATTTAACCGACCCGGCCGGTTTAGGGTATATCGATTTTTTTAGGTCAGGGCTTAGGGCTCGGAGCTTTGGAGTTTAGACTTTCGGGTTGAGGGTTAAGGGTCGGTAGCAACTAGCTGAACTTCTGGGGTAGGTCGATTTGCCCAGGGCCTGTGGAGGACTTACATGTAGGCCTAGTAGTAGAGTAGGTAAACTTTAACCTTTTTTGGCTAGTATAGCCTCCATACAATCCCCATATAACCAAAAAGGTTAACTTTTCAGTTCCCCATGATATACCGGACAAGTAGGTAGGGCGTTTCGCTGTCAGGAACCAGAACCCGAAACTCTGCGACCCTCAATTCCGGGTTCCGGAGCCCCCACTAAGCCACGTCCCGGCCGGGCCTTCCGGCGCTCAGATGGGTAGGCGGTGTCGGGTCTTAAGTTTCAGGGTTACCCCTAACCCCTAAATCCTAATCCCTAAATCCTAAACCCCTAAACCCTCAAAACCTACACAGCCGACATAACATAAACTCACGGAGCAGATGCTGCTCCCTCATGCCTCGCCGCCTCACGCTCTTGCTGTCTGAAGTTTCCATACAACTCCTTACATATGGGTTCTGATCTTTCAACAGTATATGCATCTATGCAGACACACATAATTTGTGCGTGTACTATATATATATATATATACATGTACATCGGCTGCAGGCTAGAGGCCCTACAGTGCATGGAGAGGAAACATGGCGAGTTTCAAGAAAATAGCAGCCCCGATCCGTGAACGTGGAAGTCTCCCTTCTGAGTTCCAGCATCTGACTACAGAACGTCGGTCCAAAGACCTCGGCAATAAGTGTAGCAGTGTAGTAATATGGGGGCCTTAATAATTACCTATAATATTGTGGGGTTCCTTGGTATAAGTAGAGTATAATGGAGCCCAACACCCTATAACAAATATTAAGGCCCTCTATTAGTGGGTGCCTGTCTCGTTCTCCTGTGTTTCCGTTCTTATGTCTCCCTGCCGTACCAATCTTCTTTTAAGGCACTTCTTCATCAGTTCGTCATCCTCATGTTTGGATTACGGCAGGCTTGCTGGACGCCGCCAAGCGAGAAGCCACGCGGGTCAAACTTCAGCCAACCCCGACTCTCATGGCACGAGTATGGAAAACCGTAACCCTAAACCCTAAACCCTAAACCCTAAACTGCTTAAGCCGTGAGCCTCTGTGGCTGATTTGCCTCGCGAGTCCCGTAAACTCCTGAAGCCTGCGCCCCAACATGCAAACCGCCAAATTACTCGCCGAGACTAGGAGAATCCTTCTGTACTAAACCCAAACCTCCCAAACCCTGTTGAGGGTTTCTGTAGCAGTTTATATATCCCTGCCACAATTGAAAGCTTAACCTGTTTTGGGCCACTGAGCTCAGCAACTGGCGAACGCTGCGACATTTCAACGACCTTAAGGTACATTGTTCATCTGCTCCCGCACTGGAACTGGGAGAAGGACAGTTGTACCTTGGAGACGCATCTGGAACAGGTTCCATGACTAATCGTCTTGGCTGAAGTGCAGTGCAAGCAACGCACCGTCATAAGTTCCGGCCAGTGGGGTGGTTTTGGGGGTCGCAGAATCAAGTAAACAACACAGAGCTCAACCTGGGTTAGAGTGCTTGTTACTTGTAGTCGTATTCTACCAAAACCTAGCTTTACACCGTGCATATACCCGGAAGACTGGGTAGCCTGGTTGCTAACATTTAAAAATCTGCGCCTGTCTCCACTATCGAACTTGAACCTTCAATCCCGCCCACCCTTCATGCCCTATAGGCCTGACAAAACATCATTTCTTGCCTGAACCAGCTCAGCCCCTGCATCCTTGTGATGCCCGGCTGCGGCCAGAGGCCGTAAACCCTCCAGTCAGTAAGTAACAACAAGCTCTAAAGCCCTAGCCCCCGCATTTCTTCTGAGACCGGCTGTCGTGAAGCCTTGCCTGCCTTGCGCGAGAGTCGGAACACCCCCCACCCCGAAAAGGAGTGCTAAAAATCGAAAACTTTAACTTTAACCAGCCCTAAATCGTAACCGCTAAAGCTAAGCCAGGGAATTTAAAAAGTAAGGCCCCTAGAAGGGTAGAGCCAGAAAGCCGGCCGAGGCAGCGGCACTTGTCGGAAAGTCGCCGCAAGCGGTACAATGCTCGTGACGGTTCCGGGAGGGGGGCGGGGGTGGTTTAAAGATGTTTAAATGTTTTTTTGAATCCTTTTGTGTAGAGGACCAGATTTTGGTTTAAGGTTGGTATGAGAGACAGTGGAGCTGATACTGGATTTAAAGTTAAAGTTTCGTCTGTTTTAACTCCGTTTCAACTCTTATCTTTGCAATGGTTGTGCACAACTTGTGTTGGATTAGCTATGAACTACCTTCACCTATCACAACATAGCTTTTTGTGTAGGGTCGTAATTGTACTACCAGCCTAAGTACAGTCTTCATACAGAAGCCCTACAACAGCAGGATCTTCGCTGCGAAGGTAAATTAGCTTTGGGTTCTGGTAGAGGAACGATGCTTAGCAGTTGTCGCCGCTTGCGCAGGTCTGGGTGTACTCCAACGTTGAGGAGGCCACATTGGCTCGAGACAATAGTTAATAGTTTGTTGCTTGCATACTGGGTCACTTTAAAAGGACGGCAACGTTGTCTTTTGGTGGTACTTGGGTTTCCAGGATTAGTATTGACTTGCTTCTTTCCTTGCTCTGCAAATCCGCAAACTGGCGATTCCTGGTGAAGCCCTAAACTCGCAGTTTTGCCCACTGCCCGTGGCTCTAGGGGGCTGGAGGACCTATGTATTTGCAGCCGAAGTATACGTGTTGGAGGGTTCCTACGATCAAGGGACTTGACTTCGTAAGTAGGGGCCTACTTGGAGTCACCACGTACATACAGTCAGGGCACATTTTCTGACCATACGCTTGACCTTGTGGGCAGGGTTTGTGTAGATCGTCAAGACAGGCATCAACCGAACTGTAGGACTGTAAAACCTCAAATACCTTTGTGGCAAGTTCCTGCCCCTAGAAATCAGAATGTCTTAACCCGCTGCATACATAGCTCTGAGGACATATACAATTATATACATACATATATATATATAGATATGTATGTACAGGTATGTGTGTATAAATATGTACATACTTATTTGTTGATTTACTTATTTCTGTCATATGCTGTTAGACATATTTATGTACATATATATATATATATATATATATATATGTGCGCGAGAGAGCGAGAGAGCGAGCGAGAGAGAGCGAGAGAGAGAGAGAGAGAGAGAGAGAGAGAGAGAGAGAGAGAGAAGAGAGAGAGAGAGAGAGAGAGAGAGACAAAAAAGGAAAGCAACAACACATAAAAAGAGATAGGTAGATAGGTAGACGTAGGTAGATGTGCAGGCAGATAGATTGACAACCCTAACCCAAAACCGTGGCAGGTCGAACCCACTAAACCCTAAACCCTAAACCCTAACCCAAAAGCCGTGGAAGGTCGAGCTGATACATCCAAACGGCACCTCCTTGAGTCGGCAGAAGTCGACCCCTTGCTCTCACGTGGAATGGGAGGCTCCGGGGAGGGGTTCTGGGTTTGGGTTTTACCTTAGGGGCGTAAATAATCATCAGTTCTATGTTGGTAAGTGGCCTGTGGAACGAGAGTCCGCAGTCCAGAAGAAGAAGTTCTATATTGGGGTTCCTTATCATAAATATAGTATAATGGACCCCAAAACCTGCTTTTTTTAGGGTTCCCTAATCTGATTTCTTGAGATAAGTCCTTAAAAAGGCAGGTTACTTGGGGTTAAGGTAATGTTTATGTTAAAGCTTCTGCTTCCGACTTTGATGGGAATTTCGGTTTCCCGGCTTGTGGGTTAAGAGTTTAGGACTCATGTGGATTAAACTTGGGATTCAAGGTTTCGGCTGTTTTCGTAGGGTGATGAGGACTTCACGAATGCAGTGGGCTTACGAACAAGCTGGTTTTGCAGCGCATGTGCGCTGCACGTCCTGCTGGAAACTTCAATCACAAACGGGAACCCTTACACAGACCCCAAAATCGTAGGATGCGGAATTCCCTAAGCCGTTACTCCAACAAGGACTGGGTCCGGCAGCTTGCTGAGCTGTTTATTCAACACCGTAAAAAAACGAGTTGCTAAAACTCAGGGTTTAGGGTTTAGGGTTTAGGGTTCAGGGTTTAGGGTTTAGGGTTTAGGTTTTAGGGGTTTAGGGTCCCTTGTAAAACTCAAAGCACGCAGGTACCGTTCCTTGCCGGCAAGCTGACGGCCAAAGGATACGTGAAGGGCCAGGTGGCATTTGCTTGTTCTCACAAAGGCGTGTGGAGGTTGGCGGCTTAGGGTTTAGGGTTTAGGGTTTAGGACCCTAAACCCTAAACCCTAAATGGTCGTGTCTTTTCAAGCAGTCCCAGTTTAGTGGCTGCAGACAGTGCAACACGCTTCGCGTGCTCAGCCATGTGTCATAAGTGCTGGCGATTGAAGCTTGGCTGAGGGGATTCAGGGCTTAGTGCATGGCAGTCCCTGCTCAACAAACGGTTCATAGCGCTGCCTGGTAGTAGAGTAGGTAAACTTTAACCTTTTTTGGGTCGTAGTGCCCTAGACCATCCCCATCTAACCAACAAGGTTAACCTTAAGTTCCCCATGATACCCGACAAGTAGAGCGAAGCTATGGACCTAAGCCCGCTGGAGGCAAACCCGCTGGAACTCGCGAGTCGAAGTCGCTGCCCTAAACCCTAAAAGCCCTAAAAGCCCTCAAAACCATAAAAACCCTAATTAAACCCTAAAACCCCTAAACCCTAAAGTCCCTAAACCCTATACCGTAAGTAGCTTTGGAGGTGGTGCAGACAGCCACAGTCCACACGACACAAGGGCCAAAGGCGCTTCGACTCCGCATCAAGGCACGCTGTGGGGGGGGGGGGCTTCGGGGGGGGCCGGAACCGGTGGCTTAGGCTGTTACTTGGGGTTCATGGGTAGTTATACCTTTAAGGATTCCTTTAACGGGTTGTGTAAGGATTCAGGGTTGAGGGTTTGGGGTAGTTATAAATGGGGTTACAAGTTATAAGTCCCGTAATATGGGTTATGAGTCTAGTTACCCTACTTATAACCCCACTTACAACTACCCATGAACCTCCAGGCAGCTAGGTTTTCAGGTTTGTCGCATTTTCCTTCAAGGCTCCCATCATCCCTTACAATAGAAGCCCAAAAGTTGGAAACCCAATAACCTCGAACTATAAGAGCAATTTATAGGGAATCCCAGCACCATTTGGCCTTAATCCGGTTTCCAACTTTATGGGGTTTACTGTACAGTGAGGTATAGTAGAGGTGGAGATCGATTGAAGTGCTTTCGGAAGTCGGTCTCTTCGGTGAGAAGGCAATGGGTCCACTTATGTAAGGGTTCTTCTAGTTCTGTGGAATGTACTTTGGTCTTACAGGGCTTTCTGTCAAAGCTACTCTATAGGGTCCAAGTATATACTATTCAGGTACCTTTCAGGCGTTGTCAAGCCGTTCTCAGCCTCTGGGTGCAGCACAAAGTTAAACTTACGTACCTGGTCTTATAGACTTTACACTTGGAGCCCTACTCATCACAGGGGCCTACGCAGGCCCCAAAGTAGTTCCTTGTTGGGATTACCTTAAAGGGCTCTATATACGAACCCCAAAAAGGAACTACTTTGGGGCCTTAGGTTAATAATAATTGGAAGTACAGCAAAAAATCACGGCTTCCCCAGGGAATACTCCTCTACTTGTGAAGGTCCCTGACCCGGAAAATTGGAAAGGCTGCAGCCTCCTCAAATAGTTCCGTTCTCGCAAAAAGGAGTCGCACGGACAGAACAACCAAGATCGAGAAGTCAACGGGCCGTAGTTTCATAGACTCAGACGTGCTGTATGTTTAGTTAGCCCACTACGGCTTCCATCGGTTCCTGCCGATTTGGCGGCGAGATGCTCAAAGCCACTAAAGGAGCCCTGAAACAGGCCAGTGAAAGAACAAACCTTAAACCCTAATTCCCCAAAGCTAAGGGCACCCAGAGGAGTCGAAATCAGTACCAGTCTTGCCAGGACGGTGTCGGCGAGGGCGGAGTCATCGCAAACGGACAGGACCGTGCGGACAGGGAACACGCAGTATCTACAGAACTACAGTTGGAACCGTGGTAGGAAGGTCTTGAAAGGATGTAGAATGATGTAGATCAGGTCGGATATTTAGCAGCCCACGCCACTGACAGACGAACGGTGCAGCTTTGCCTGCTTAGCGGTTGAGGGAGAGTTGCGCTAAACCTTGACCGGAACCCTATATGTCCAAGGGTAAAAGGAGGGACCCTCAATAAGGATCCCTAAGTATATACCCTTAATATAGCTATTATATACCCATTATATAGCCCAATATAGGGTAGGGGTCCCCATTAAGGGTCCTTCCTTTTCCCCTTTGAAAATGTTTCGAGTTTGGATTTCGAGCCCTTCTCGCAAGAGCTCGTCCCAGGATGTAGCGCTTCTTTCAGTCGATGTGGTCGATGCACAGGGAAGCGTCGTCCCCACGGCGGCCTCAATGGAAGCTCGTAGCGGATTTTGATGGTTTAGGCTAAAGCATAGTGCTCATCATCATCTGTAATTGGCCTCCAGGGGATGTGACGGGGGGAAGTACTGATTTTGCAAGGAGCGCCCAGACCCCCTAAATCTGAAAAACCCTGAGGCCCTAGACCACAAAAGCTCGAAACGTCTCGGGTTTTCGGGGTTAGGGTTCCGTAACCCTGACCTTGGGCTTCACGGACGCCTATTCGGAGGCCCGATATCGGCCGTCAAAATCCAATTTGCGATGAACACCTCTAGCTCACACACGGATTTCGAAAGGGTCCGTGTACCTTCGGGGTTCCTTAGTGTAGAGTAAGGATAGCCTCATACCGTCTGGGCGTACAAAATCCCCACATAATCCCAAAGGTCAATCTTTAGTACTTGAGTTCCTCTGATTCTAGGAGGGTTTTTCTGCGAACTTACACGGTATTAAAGGGGCACCAAAGTTTAAGTGTGTAAGCGTCCATGTGCCCGCATAGTTATGGCCGTAGCTATAGTATGCACTTTGGCCACACAAGGGTTCCTAAGTACAAGTACCGGTACTTTAGGGTCAAGGTATTTATTAAATACTATATGCACACATGTGTGTATGTATTGTGTGTATATATATATATATATGCACACAAATTTTATTGTTAAAGGGCATGTCATGTCAACCCTTTCAAAGCAAACGCGTGGCTATGGAGGGGTTCAGTATAGGGAGCGCATGCTGTTCGCACCCCTTCTTGTCAAATGTGCCCCGAAGCTGCTTATGAGCCTGGAGGGGTCGATTTTAGGGTTAGGTTGTTTTACCCAATAGAATACGCATCCCTAAGGGTCCATGTACCCATATAGAGATACATGGGCCCCAGAGTACCCATATAGGAACTACATTAAGGCCAATGTATATACTATATGCCCACATGGACCCTTAGGGAATTAGAAGTATACTAGACAATGCTTATAATGATACGAGAACCAATACACCGACACTCCCACCAATTACTTCGTGGTTTGGGGTGAGGGTTACTGTACTTGCGTACCTAGCGGATTCCTGCCGGCTTTGAGTTATCTCACAGCACTGAAGGGGCTCTGGAAGGGTTACATATAACCGACTGTGGGCCCAGGTCACATTTTCCGTTGAGGGCGGCGGTGGCGCCAGGCTGCCTGAGTCTTTCATCCGGGCGTGAGTAAGTCAGAGTAAGTACAAGTTTCTATTCCTCTGGGCTCCTGCACAAAATCATACTATATTACAACCCTCAAAACCTATTCCAATTGTTGAGGCCTCAATTTTGAACCATACTAGGGTTCGGGGTTCAGGAAGGGCATCTCGCCACTTTCAGCCTTGTAGATGTATCTTTATGTGCCTGCGTTTCAGGTGAATTTGTTTGACATTCGCAGGGATGCCACCCAAGTTAGCAATGTGCAAACTGCGACCGGTGCTCCTCGCCCACGAAACCGACATGGTAATCACGCACCATAAACATGCATGTTTCTCATTGTTCCGGTAAGCCCTACCCATAGGCTCCATAGTAGTTCCTTTTTGGGATTACCTTCTAGGATCCTAGACACGAGCCCCAAAAAGGAACTACTATATAGAGCCTATAGGTAAACCCCCAAAAACCCAAAGCTCCTGACTTTTCTGTGGGAAGCCGAAGCCTGAGCCCCGATGCTCCCAAGCCCGACATGCGTGGCAAACTCTGAGCCTGAAACTCAAATCCTAAAGCCCTTCGGTTGATGATATAAATCCTGTATTACCTTAAGAGCCCCAAACTATGGGAATTTTAGTATATTCCATATTATGGGCAATGCAGGGTTTATATCACCAACCGTCTTGTGACAAAGATGGTTCAGACAAGCAACTATTGCGCAACCCTTAATCATACGGCGCCTTGAGAACCCGTTGAAGTACCCGGTCAGACTATAAGTAGTACCTATCCTAAACCCCCAGCCTAGTCCTCAATCACCTACTGGTACATTTTTGTTGGCATACAAATATAAATGTATATAAATGTATATAAATGTATACAAATGTATATAAATTTAATATAAACTAATAAATAATAAATTATACATACACATCTATGTGTGTATATATATATATATATATATCGCGAATCATTTTAAGGAGCCCTCAAGAGGTAGGTGTCTTAGGATCCGGCGAGGATCCTCGGGACATCAAACGGAGACCCAGCGAGCCTCGAGTTGAACACCTCCCCTGTTCGGCGAGCCTTCGGGGGACGGTCGCCTGGCCTAAACCCTAAACCCCTATAGGAAACTCCAGAAAGTTGGAATATGGTTTCATGGTAGGATACCCTATAATTTACCATAGAAGGGCTAGGATAACCATATTCCAACTTTCTGGCTTTTACTGTAAGCCCTAAACCCTTTTTGGGCTTGGAATTGCGGGTTTAGGGAGTTTAGGGGTTCAGAGGTTCAGGGTTTAGGGACTTGAGGCTTCGAGGTGTAGGGCTTTACATTCTAAGTCAGGGATCTTTTTCAAGGTATCCATCAGGCTTCGGGGGGCTAATTAGGGCTTATTCCTGGATCCTATTACCAAGGGTTATCCTTGTAGGGGATGTATAAGGGTCTCTTCTATTTCCTCTCAGGTGTCCGCACCCTAAACCCGACATCCTAAAAAGGGAGAATGCAAGTCGGACCTAGCGTTTCAGAGGCTTAGGGTGGAGGGGTTTAGAATGTGTCCTCAAGCCCAGTAGCGACAACACGGCTTTAGCATGTGTTCGGGACTTGAGGTTTCGCGTGGCAAAAAAATGCGGATGGTCGTGCTCGGGGCAGGCATTCCAATTTGCACCCCAGCCCGAAGTCCTGAAATCCCAAAATCCCCGGCCCCTGATTCAGCACCAGGACCCAATAGCGCTACTTGGAGGTTTATGGGTAGTTATAAGTGGGGTTGTAAGTCCCCTAATATGGGTTATAACAAAAGTTCCCCCTACTTATAGCCCTTGCAAATCCGAACCCCGAACTATCCTTGCAACTTCTATGAAGCCCTGAGGCTCATGGCCGTGATTCGGCCGACCGTGCCCGCGCGGGGTGCGCTCAGAGTTACCGCCACATCTCCTGGGCTTGCATCTGACAGCCTTGAGCTAGAGGCCATCCGGTGGTGTCTGGGGTTTTGGGTTAAGGCTTTATGTAGGATGGGTCTACGGCTTCAACCTCAGTTCCGAAACAAGAGCCTACTGTAGGTATTAGTTCAGCCCCCCCTGAAAACAACAAACAACTCTGCTATCAAGCCGTAGTCAACTGAAGGTATGACTGAACCCGAAAAGCCATGAAACTGCTCTAGTTGCAATATGTCGCTCTCTTTAAGCTTCTTAAGAGCCCTACAATTGACTCTTATTGCGGGAGGGCATAAGGAATCAGCATGTACATTACGGATACATATCCTGAAACAGAAAACACGTGACCTGCAAGCCCTCGTGCCCAAACCTGCTGCCTAGCTTGACGAATGCAGGTAGTAAGCTTTTCAGCCAAGTCTCGCTGATCCTACCTATGCCACTATCACTCAGCCCTCCAAGGCCCGAACTACTGGTACCAGAAGGACAGCATCTATGATATGCAGTGTCTTTTCATTTGGAGAAGTTACACAAATCAGAATTTCAGAGGAACAACTCAGATCCATCTACTTGCCTGTAAAATTCTTCTGCAACCGGCCCAGGAGAATCTAAAGAACCGGCCTAAAGGCCTTCTAAACCTTGAGCCCTGAAAGCCTTAAACCTGTTCACGAAACCCGAAGAACAAAGTTTCGGTTTGACAGCTTCCGTCTTGCCTGCGCGAGGTGCTCTCTACGTCCTCGGCTGGGTCAGAGGCCGTGATCGTTTGAAGCAGGCTGCGTAGTAAGCCTCAGACTCGTCGTGTTGCTGTATGTGGCCTGCACCAGCAGAGCAGGTTTCAACCTTTTGGGGCCCGGTAATTTTTGAAGACAGGAGCCATGATAAGCACTTATGACCCTCATTTATCCTCTTCTAACAATGGGTAGACCTTGTTCGTATCAGTCAGTAATTAATAGTCAGAAAAACATTCGACTTTGGTTTCAAGTTGTAAGACTCCAGAGAAAAATGACGGTGCCTGTTTCCCTGGGAAAGGAACTCTCGTGGGTTATTCTACTTTTCTGACGACGGTTTGGGGTTTGGGGTCTTGGAAACGAGAAGGCCTTGCTGTTGAGGAGTGTTCGCTGGCACACAATCCAAGCCCATGCTGAAAAGGGTCTTGGAATGATATCGCATTCCAACCGTATAGCCGATGTGGAATGACTCGAGTATGCAAAGACGATAAAGAGGCTCAATAATTACCTGTACTTGGCGCTGTTAGACCCGCTGGATGCAACGGCAGAGAGAGAGAATTACCTATACTATTTTTGGTGGTTCCTTACTGTGGTTGTAGCAAAATGGCCCAAAGCCCTGTTCTAATTATTGAGGCCCCTATAGTACGCTTTAGTGCGGTTCGACTCTTCGAATCATGGCAGCCGCCTTTGTCGGCTGAAGCGCCTGTGCACCGACCAGAAGAGTTGTGACCTCTATGTACAAAGAAGACATGTGGCGATTTCGCCGGTTTCCCATTGTGCCGCCTGTGAAGAATGCTCAAAGGGGGGTGCTCCTTCGGGTTTAGCTTTGGGTCTTTTTAAGTTTCGGGCTTCAGGAATATGGATCCCTAAATCCTTACCTTTGCGCTCTAGCCCAAGCAATACAGCACTTTAAAGCCCTGACAACCAAGACCCTGTAGCCTAAACCGTAGGACCTATACTATAGATCCTGAACCCCAAACCCTAAGCTGTAAATCCTAAACCCGAAACCCTAAATCCCAAAGCACCGCAGCCTAAAGTAGGAGGCCAAAACTACCCTAAGGCCGCAAAGTAGTTCCTTTTGGGGATTACCGTATAGGATTCTCTATATGAGCCCCCAAAAGGAACTACTTTGGGGCCTTAGGGTATAAACAAACCCACACCTGGATCCGGATCTTGGGGTTGAATCAAACCCACATGGAGGTTTATCAATCTACGGGGTCCCTCACTTCATCACAAGGATCTCGTAGTTCAGGGTTTTCTTTAACGGTCCCCATAAAATACGGCTGATGATATAAATCGTGCATCACCCATATTAAGGAATATACCATAATTCCCATAGTTTAGGGAGCTTAAGGTAATGCAGAATTTATAAAACAATATCATCAACCGTAGCTTCGAGCCCAGGCCGATGGCAGCTTCGGCTGCGCACCGGAGAGCTGAGGGACGTGGAGGACATCTTGGGGCTTTACAGTAGAACCGGTTGGAGATTATTGTTTAGGGTTTAAGGGTTTAGGGTTTAGAGTTTAGGGATTCTTCGTTTTAGGGGTTAGGGTGTCAGGTTATACAGTAGAAGCCCAACAGTTGGAAACCCAATAGCCTCAATCCTTAATAGTAATGTACAGGGAATCACAGCACTATTTGGCTTTAATCCGGTTTCCAACTTTATGGGGTCTAAGGGTTTAGGGTTTAGGAGGATATCTGGCTTCTGGTTCCCAGAGACTCCAATATCCCTGAATTGAGGGGAATATACCTTAAACTACTGTATTGCCTTATTTAAGGGATATACTACTTCTGGTTTGGGGGCCTAGAACTCTCCCCTGGACGCTGGGCGAGATAACCTAGCTTTTTAGTTTTAGGGTTCCCCATTTGTGATTCCCCTGTATACAACCTTACAAATATGTAGATGATTCGGGGCTCCTTTTGTGAGCAGTGTAGTCCAAAAATATGATTATGTATTTAGTTGTGTGTGTATATACAGACATACAGATACTGTATATATGTGTATGTACATATGCCTTGCACATGGCTATATATACGTATACATATTCATGTGTGTGCATTTGTCTTTTGGTCGAGAGCGTAGCTTCGCACAGAGAAAGGAGCACTCTAGAAGCGATGTTGCCCATTTCACGCGCAGGCGATGTCCTTAACCGAACCCAGTACTAACAGCACTGGTTTCGTTTCATCAGTCGCCTTCGCAGCTGGCATCATCTCCTCAACAAAGTGGTTGAGGTTCAGGGTTGTGCGTCTGGTTTGAGGAAAACGTTCAATGCCAAAGTAGCTGAGATATCGAATATGGGCACCATTGCAGAAAAAGCTGCGGGGTGTGTTATGCAATTGTTGCTATTATTGTTATTTCCATGTTTATCATTGTTCATTGTTATTGCCGTTGTTAATCATGCTTACTGTTCTTACGATTATTGTTACTATTCAGGCCCCCATATTTGGCAAGAACACGCCTGGCAGGAGAAGAGTCTTCGCCTGGTGGACGATGCGAAGGCCCACCTGCGTCGGATCTGTCAGTGAGGCTTCGAAGGTTTAATCTAGGTGCCTTAAGAAGTAGAAAGGCTTCCCTTAAGGGCCCTAGAAGGGCTACTATCAGGGTTTCGAACAGGGCTTTTGGGGTATGTTTGCTGTGTCGAATCAGGAACCCTAAGAAAAAGTACATTAGCTAGACTTCAGAGCAGTAACAAACTGTGGGTCCGTTGAGGTCTATTTCCACAGCGAACAGCCGGCAGGTCTGCGGCCACGCTTTATAACGTAAAGGGCTGTAAAAGTTGAGATGCTGGAACTACTCCAGGACTCCATCATCCTGTCTCGGATCTCCCCAACATGCTGCCAACTACTCATCAACGCCTGTTCTATCGGATTCTATGGTTCCGCACCAGAGCTTCCAATCTTTTCCAGTCTTCGAATTCCTTCGACACTCCCCTTGAAACCTCAGGGTTCTCTCTGCAGACTCTTGGTTTAGGGCTTGCTAAGTCGGCTCATATGGGAGTTTCCGAAAACTAGGGGTACCTTGTTTTGGGGTCCTTATAATAAGGATCCTGCTATCTAGGGTACTATGTTAGGGTCCCCTTTTTTGGGAAACTCCCATTTAGGATCCCGGTCTGTCGGAGCTAGGGTTCAGGGTTTAGGGTTCTAGGGTTAGGGTTCTGGCAGCCAGCAAGCCCAGTGTCAAAAAGGGTTTAGGGTTCTTCGAACTACATGGGTGGTTGTCAAAATTATGGGCTTTTTTGGTATTATAATACGGCACCTAATATTTAGGGTACCCAAAAAGGGACCCTAATTTTGACAACTACCCCACATGTAACCCTTCGTCGCCCTCCCATCTACTCGGACTTCCACAGCGCAGTTGGCCGGTGGTGACGGTCAAAGAGGTGGCAACCTGCATTGAGAGTCGTTGCTTAGGGGTACTTAGAAATAATTTGTATTTTTTGTTATTATAATGCCTAAGAAACAGCTAAAAAAACAATTTTTGCTAGGGTTTTACGTCAGTATAGGTTGGCTGTTAAGGGCATTCTTTGTTGCTGTGTGTATGTCTGTGTGTGTGTGCGCGCAGGACAAGCCGGACCTGTCCACGTTCGGGACGGAGGCCAAAGTATCCAAGACCTCGTGCCCCTTACCGATTTTTCCGAATGACTGCATGGTTCAATCAAGAAGACATATGTCTATGTTCTAGAAATCTTGTGCTCTTGCAGTGCCCAAAACCCCATATAACGACCCTGAACGTGGATGTTCGCGAAGTTCTCTGCATCCAAGATGAAGTTATGCATATGCTGAAACCCAGTGATCTTCACCCTCCCACCCCCCGCCCCATACCTCGGCCTACCTTCCGTTCGGCCCAGAAGCCCAACTTCTCTACCGACAGCCTAGTGCGATCCTACAGATGAGCGTGAAGCGACTTCACATATCAGAAAGAATCAGACTTTTAAGCAACTGCCGTTTCAACCTCTTCTTCCCTTAAGCTTGACTTCAAAGGGGAGCATCTCTGCACTGCTCATTTCCTGAAGTCTCCGCTCGTTGCACCCCACTGTTTGTGTTTTCAGGTGCTTCCGGTTCGGGGTCAAAGCTCGGGCCATATGCAATGAAGCTTCGTCAAAACAAGGGCCCGAAACGAGGAGCTCGCAGAGTCCGGAACGGGTCTTGCGGCCCACTCTTTAAATTCACCAACACTGTTGAATACATCCCTTTCTTTGAGGTTTGTTAATCACTCAACTAAATACTAAAGGATATTGCGCTCTCTCTGATAGTCCACAGCAGGTGTGTGGCTCCCTGCAGCGCGCTTACGGCACTGTGGAATACAGCCTGTGGCGATGGCCCCGGCTTGGGGTTTCCGGTTAGTTTTCTGCGGATACGGAAGCTTCAATACGCTTCGAGTGAGGATTAAACTATAGTCTTCAGAGCATAAACGGATGTGTACTGCTGACCTAGAGTGTCCATCTATACTACCATTATGGAATTAGGCCCCCAAAACCATGACAAGAGTGGTCTTTTGGGGCCCAATTCCATAATGGTAGTATATGTGGACCCTCTGTTGGTGACTTAAGGAATGCCTCAGAAAACTCACAAGATGCCGTGCTACGAGCCCAAACATCCACCACTCCACCGGAGGGCCCCCTTTGCGAGATCTCGTGGAATCCCGAAGGCGCATAATTGCGCAACCACACGCCGCACCTGCCCCGGCTCGGGTACTACAGGGTCGGAAGAACTACTTGAAGTATTTCCCTCTGGTCCGTATACTCTTCTTGTTACCCATAGGCCCCGAAGTAGTTCCTTTTTGGGGTTCATATATAAAATCCTTTAAGGTAGTCCCAGAAAGGAACTACTTTGGGGACTATGGGTAAAGCAGCTTACCCCGTAATGTAGCCTTTGTCTGGGGCTCCAACTCCCCCTCCATCCTCCCATAATTTCACCCGACACGAGTGTATTTCGCAGGCCTACACCCCCCTGATATAAATCTCAAAGACCCTAATGTCTGGCCTGGACACTCTGAGTGCGAGTGCCGACAACCACAAAGCATAAAAAAATCCTAGACC